TTCTTGTAGAAGGCAATTACAGAATGCACTGCATCAAAAAGTTCAGAATCAACACACAAACAAAAGGCACACAGATTATGGTAACCATGCTCAACCATGCTTGCTTGAAGTGCAAAAAAAACAATATTTGACATGTTGTATGTGTTTTGACCAGTGTTTATGTGAATAAAAGCTCAAATTAAATCTGCTCATCATATAAATCGATTGTCTCTCTTCAGGAGACTTAAATGATTAGTTCACTTCCAGAATGAAATTTTCCTGACAATTTACTCACCCCCATGTAATCCTAGATGTTCATGACATACTTTCTTCAGTTGAAAAAAAAATTAAAGGGTTAGTTCACCCAAAAATGAAAATTAGTTTGTGTTTTACTTACCCTTGAATCATCCTAGGTGTATATGACTTTCTTCTTTCAGACGAATCCAGTCGGAGTTATATAAAAAATTGTCTTTGATCTTTCAAGCCGTTTAATGGCACTCAGCGGGTGTTGCAGTTGAACAGTCCACAAGTCGTCAAATAAAGCTCACGCATTCATAATAAAACGTGCCGCAGACGGCTCCGGGGGATGAATAAAGGCCCCCTGTAGCGAATCCATGAGTTTTTGTAAGAAAAATATCCATATTTCAAACGTAATAAACACTTTTTTCTCACTTCCGTTATCTATCATCCGCGGATCCGTTCCGGCGGAAGGCGTATGACGTATGCACAGCGCTTGCGCCTCTGAGGTATGCTAGTCTCGCGAGTTTGTTTACAGGAGCAAAGGAAGCAAAGTTTCCTTACTTTAGCAAAGAAAAACCAGTCTCTTCTTGGTTTATATTGAAATCCTCCGACATTTTTCTTTGCAAATCTTTGGTTTGTACTTCCAATTCGTGACCGGCGCTTTGTTTTGTTTTCTCTCTCCGCATTCGTCACTAATCACGCAACACATACGTGCTGCGTCATCCGCCGGAACGGCTTCAGTGTATGACAGTCAGCGGAAGTGAGAGAAAAGTGTTTATTACGTTTGAAATATGGATATTTTTCTTACAAAAACTCATGGATTCACTACAGGGGGCCTTTATTCATCCCCCGGAGCCGTCTGCGTCACGTTTTATTATGAATGCGCGAGCTTTATTTGTCTGAAAGAAGAAAGTCATATACACCTTCGAGGGTAAGTAAAACACAAGCTACTTTTCATTTTTGGGTGAACTAACCCTTTAAGGTTTTTGAGGAAAACATTCCAGGATTTTTCTCCATATAGTGGACTTCAATGGGATTCACCAGGTAGAAGGTCCAAATTACAGTTTCACTTATCTAGCAAAACGATCAGTCACAAAAAAAAAAAAAGTAAAAAATTATATATTTTTTAACCACAAATGCTCGTCTTGCACTAACTCTGTGATGCGCATGTGCGACTTCACGCATTACATAATCATGTTGGAAAAGTCAGACGGAAGTAGTACCGAACATCTGATTTTCTCCTCCAACTTCAAAATCGTCCAACATCATTGTTTTCATTTTTTTACCTTTTTTACCTAATTCCTCGGCTGGGATCATGTAGAGCCCTTTGAAGCTGCACTGAAACTGCAATTTGGACCTTCAACCTGTTGGTCCCTGTTGAAGTCGACTATATGGAGAAAAATCCTGGAATGTTTTCCTCAAATACATTCCAGGAAGAAAGATACAAACATCTTGGATGACATGAGGGTGAGTAAATTATCAAGACATTTTTATTCTGGAAGTGAACTAATCCTTTAAATCACTTGATTCATATGGATTACTTTTACGATGAACCTTTTTAAGCTTGAAAATTTGGTTGTGTGAACTTTCAATGGGTGGACAAAAATGATGGGAGAATATTAAAAATATCTTAATTTGCGTTCCAAAGATGAATGAAGGTCTTTAAATGGTTTTGGAACAACATGAGAGTGAACAAATGATGACAGAATTTTTAAAAAATTGTGTGAACTAACATAACTCTTTAATGATAAGAATCATTATTGTGGTAGCAAAGTTTTCATTAAGAGTGCAAGATCAAGGTTCAGATCTTTGCCTTTTTTTTTTTAAATACTTTTTTAATAGATTAAATTTTACAGCCATTGATCACTATGACACTTGACTACAGCATAACGCAGGACGAGGATCATGTGAGCTCCAATAATTTTCCTAATACTGGAAGTTGTGTTAAACATTTTACAAATTTGTTGCACCATTGGACATGCCCACAAAACTCATGATCACCACTATTTGTGTTTCTGGATATCTCATTGTTAAAAATGAATTTCTGTCCTTTTTTTTCAACAATTTTTGTTGCTGTAAATTGCTTTATGTGTTTTAACCTGCTCTTGCTCTAAAATTAAGGCTATTTCTTAATGTTAACTGATATCAATTCCAAATCCATTCCTTGCAAATGTTTTAGAGGACTCTGATATGCATATCTGATTTAATTCACTCCGATTAATTCAATAAATAATGAAACTACAATGGACTACAAACAGTAATTTACATTGACTTTTACAAGTACAATATTTCAAGTATGTATTTCAATACAGACCCATCTGAAGCCAAAAAGAAAATAGGAACAGGAAAAATGAATATAAAGAGAAAAGGCAGTACCTTGATATGTTTGACTCCACAGCTCACTAGCTTACTTTGCTGATACAGGTCCCATGATATGTCGAATATCTTTATGAAACAAAAAAAGAAAAGTACAGTATAATGTATTATGTATGTAGGTATTTCAGAACTCAGTGAAGTATATGCTGCCTTCAAGCCTGTTTAAATATTGTAATTTCAATATCATGGTTGGAATTAAAAGGACATTTTGGACAATTTTTCTCTTTTTCATTTCCCAAGGACAGGAAGCTTGTTTAGAGCTAGTGCACTAAAATGCAGTGCAAATGAGGAATAATAGATTCTATACACACTACTGAAGTTTGAAATCAGTACGTTTTTTTAAGAAATTAATATTTTTATTCAGAAAGGATGCATTAAATTTATCAACATGACAGCAAAACATGTTTAATGTTACAAAAGATTTATATTTCAAATAAATGCTATAAGAGATATCATTCAAAAACAGTAAAACATTTTAAACAGTAGTGTGTACAGTATGTAATTTATCATTCCCATGCAAAATTGTCTGCCCTGATTGTGTAATTACACGCCCACAACTCGGAATATCGGAGATCAAATAAAACCTAGTTTCTCTTTGGTACTTATGACATTGTGTGAGTGTTCAGGTGCACCTATTTCATACTGTAATATATATGAGTTGAAGGCAGCAAGACAATCTGTGGTTACAACATAGACAACCAGAGATTTGTTGAGTAGTCAGAGAAAACAAGTCCTCAGGAGATTGCCGAAATTACTTCTGTAATTTTATAAGGAAATGCTATCTAATGTTTGAACTATTTATGTGTAAGTGTTACAGAGCCAGAGATATCAGGAAAGAAATTGAAGACAAAGTAAGGGAAAGTGTGTGCTAATATGTGTTTTGGCCCCAAGGATGTACCATCATTAGTTCCAGTGTTAATTTATGTAAAATGAAATTAATTTCAGTGCATTCCCAGACTCCCTGAATCCTAGCACTTCCTTGCTAGCATGCTTATGGCTGTCTGTTTTGTATTTGTAACGTGATTGTAACATATGAGTTACTCTGACTGAAACTAGAGGACAAAAGAAACATTACACTGCCTGTCTACCATTTCTAATTGTGTGTGTGTGTGTGTGTGTGTGTGTGTGTGTGTGTGTGTGTGTGTGTGTGTGTGTGTGTGTGTGTGTGTGTGTGTGTGTTGTGTGTGTGTGTGTGTGTGTGTGTGTGAGTGTATGTGTGTGTGTGTGTTCTTACCCGGTCTGTATGACCAGGAGCAGCTGCCAGAACTTTCCCCTGTCTCCAGTCCCACACACAGATTGTGTTTTTAGAGTCCAAGCCCACAGACACCAAACACTGCAAACACAAGAATATGAATGAAAACTAAGAAAACAAATTATATGTCCTGCTCATAGAGAGCTAAAAAAAAAAAAAAAGCTTCTTGTAGAGGTTAGCTTTAACCATAATCAAACACAATTGAACCAGCTAACCAAAGTGTTCAAGATTGCTTAACCAAAGATTCTGGTTAAAAATGGCCACTAACAACCAAGGTGTGATTCTTTCTCAAAAGCTTAGGAGGGTGAAACATTGCAGGTAGGTGTTTTGGAGCAGGACTGGAAATTGACTCTACAAAAAGGAAGCACTCCAGAAGCAGGGTTGGCTAGACTCTAAGCTGATATTTCATAACTCTAGGCTGTTTATAGTTGCTTAGCAACACAACATACTGTAATGCATGATATTGAATTCAACTGAAGTGCACTCACAGGAAACCTGTTCTGTGAATCATCATTAAGAAGTTAAAATGTAAAAAGATGAGCACTGTGTCAAGTCAAGCAATGTGATAAAATACAATATTTTATATTGTATATTATATGTTGTGTAAAAATGGATGGATGGGTTTAATCAATTATTATTGGTTTTATGTGACTTTTTTAATGATTATATGTGACCCTGGACCACAAAACCAGTGGGTCGCTGGGGTATATTTGTAGCAATAGCCAAAAAATACATTGCATGTGTCAAAATTATAGATTTTTCTTTTATGCCAAAAATCATTAGGACATTAAGTAAAGATCATGTTCCATGAAGATATTTTGTAAATTTCCTACCATAAATGTATCAAAACTTAATTTTTGATTAGTAATATGCATTGCTAAGGACTTCATTTGGACAACTTTAAAGGCGATTTTCTCAATATTTAGATTTTTTTTGCACCCTCGGATTCCAGATATTCAAATAGTTGTATCTCGACCAAATATTGTCCTATCATAACAAACCAAACATCAATGGAAAGCTTATTTATTCAGCTTTCAGATGACGTAAATCTCAATTTTGAAAAATTTACACTGGTTTTGTGGTCCAGGGTCACATATATATATTTACCCTATTTAAAATGTAATACTGTAAGTAGTATAACTATTTCAGTTACTTTATTAATGTATGTATTTTTTCTCAAATTTTTTCAGACATTTAAACCAGGCAGGGTTAACCTTACAGTAGTACTCAACACTGAAAATCAAAATCCGTCATCACTTGAATTAAGATTATAATAATTTAATTTTAAATCACAGCCACCACAACATCAGACTTCAGCACCTCTTTTTACTTTGAAATCGTTCTGAGGTTAAATACAGATTTAAAACCATAACAAGAAATAATTTAATAGCTGTTATACTATTTTTTAAATCAAATTTTTGCATAGCTATGACAGGAAACACTGGCATCTAACAATGCCTTGGGGGGGAATGGTTAATTTAAAAAAGAAAGCATATACATGAACCCAAATAGGAAATAAAACGGTTATTAAATAAACATGTGTCCTATTCTGTGCCCTAAACTCCAGAAACACTGGTGTCTCTTTTTTTTGTTTTAGAGCAGACAATGCAATTTTGGAAAGAAATCAATCAAATCTGTATGTGTGTGTGAAAATATTCAGATGTAACCCCCCCTTTGCAATCGTTAACATTGTCATATGTAACTGTAACATAATTACATATTTTTTCAGAATCCATCCCGACTCTGAAGAGATTAAGCATTTAAAGCTATTGTTTCATTATTGTGCATAGGTGTGGCCGTTAATATAGTTATTGTTATAGTTATCACTCTTAAATGGCCTTTAATATTGTAAAACATGAATCTGCTACCATCTATATATTTACAGCCACTGGAACTAAAATGCCAGAAGCTTCTCAAAACCTAATTTTTCTCTCAAACTGTGCACAAATCATCTGTAATCATCGCAAATGTTTGTTGAGGGGACCTCATTAGTTCAGCATCCCTTTGATGTGAGTTTGCTGATTTCCACCTCCGTCCCATCAAACCTGATCACCGGTTTTGAGGTTTCACCACGCTGGCTGAGGCTAAAACGGACTGCCTTCGGTCAATTATGGGATGCTAAACCTTTGATGAATTTGAGAAGAAAAATGTTGCTTTAGACACCCCTGAGTCTTTGAGGCAGCGTCTCACTGTTCCTCTCTTTGCCGTTTCATCCGTCGGTGTGAAATAAATGATGAGGCCAATTTCCTGCTGAAACTCTGCAAATCACTTTCTCCACTGGGGGGAGGTGAGGGGTGAATTCTCTCAGATAAAGTGAGGGTGAGCATAGAAATGTGAAATGTCAATCTCAGAGGTACAATTTTTCATTCCATACCTCTATCATCTCCTCTAGTGAGTTGGAGTGCTTTTGTTAAATTGACACTGTTCCCAACTCTCATCCACTTTAGCCTTTTATTGTGCAATGTTACGAATTCAATATCACATTTACACTGAATGCTATACACACTAACACCTGTCTACACAGTATGATATTCGTGTTTTTGATCAGATAAGGCTGGTTGAGGTCCCTGCTGCTAATATCACACTAACTACTTACTATAAAATAATTTTAATAATTACTTAAATAATTTAAATAATTACTGATAATATTACTCGTGAAAATGCACATTTTAATGGTACAATAACATTAAAAATGAATATACCACATTTCTGACTAAATCTGACTGGATAACTGTGTGTGTGTGTGTGTGTGTGTGTGTGTGTGTGTGTTTTACATAGTCTGTTGCACTATATGTTTGTAACCTGTTTAAGGAAAAGGTGTGGGTGTGATTCAGTAGGGACGCTGAAAAAAGCCCACTTGGATTCAAATGAATAATGCTGCTTCATTCTGTTTTTGTTTGCCATTTGATTTTTTTCATTCGCAAAAATAATAGCAGTGTATAATCATAGAGAGTAGGGCAACTTGGCACTAGTGTGACCTTTAACAAAATTCACACCCGCCGGCAGAAAAATGGTCAACCAACCATTCAGTCATAGGCTGGAGCCCTAAAAAGGAGGCAGCACGACTGTGTGTTCTGTCAAAGCAAATAGATCCAAAGAAAGACACAGCAGAACCATTTCAACACACAGCAGTGTTGTTTCATTCCTGAATGTTTCAGTGTTTTTGAACAAATCGGTTGAGTAAAGGATTCAAAGACTAAATGATTAAAAGAAACAGCATTTTTGAACGAATTGAGAGAATGATTCAATAACTCATCTATAAAGACAGACACTTCTGTATTTTTGTGCTAACCGATTGAGTGAATAATGAAATGACTCACTCACAAAGACAGTTACTTGCATTTTTAAATCAACTGAATGAAAGATTTAATTCCTGAAATGTGCAAATACAGATACAACAGTGAAAGTTGTATCTGTACTCAGGTTCAAGGACTGTAACTAACTGCTTAACTTTAAAACACTGCTTAACCTAGTCGACATGGGGCAGTTCTTACTAAGTGCAGCATCAAAGGTTTTTTCAAAAAGCTCTGAAAATTAAAGTTCCACAGTTTTACTGAACAATGTTGAAGTGTAGTCATCCAGAAAATGCAGCAAGAACATATCAGTATATGATGTAAGTTTCAAAAACCATTATCTTCTAAACCCTTAATGCTGCTTAATGTTCTTGAGTTCATCAGTTGATGTTATCACTGAGGATTTTGTGTGTTGTTTCTGTCTAGGTGACAACCAGCAGCTCTGGCAGACACACAGTTATACAGTCTGACACATACTGTCACACTGTGGGAGTCACACCGTTGGTGTGTTCGCAGATGTGACTTCAACAACTAATAATAAACTTCACAGCACCTTACAGCACCTCATACTGAGAGATTAAACTTACGAGGTCTTAACAATGTCAGCTCCTTGGTATAAAGATAAATCTTTCTTATTGCAGTATGTTATTGCTCAGAACATTTACCTGTCCATCAAGGTCGAAGGCGAGACAGGCGATACCGTGTGTGTGCATGTCCTTCAATATGGACACTGTCTGCACAGTATACGAGTCCCACACACAAATATACGGCTCCTTTCCAACCTGTCCTGTGGCCACCAACACTCTCTCTGGATGCAGGGCTAAACTGTGGAAAGAGAATTACAGTGAAGTTAAAATATTAAGTGGCAAATTAATCATCAAAAAGTGTGCAGTGTCCACCTTGTGCAGTGGTTTGTGTGATTTGATTGCTATCCAATCCAAATGCGTTTCGGGTAGCATTTACACCTGTTCATTTTAAGATTGGATAGCTATCCGATCAAAGAAAATTCATGAAGTGGCCAAGTGTTCAACATATACTGTAAATCGTATAAAATGATTAAGCTCAATTCATATGGACTAGAACTTTTTGAAGTTTCAAAGAGGTAGTTGCGTAGACTGTCAATGGAGGGACAGAAATTTCTTAGATTTCATTAAAAAATATCTTCCTCTGTTTTCCAAAGATGAAGTCTTACGGGTTTGGAATGGCATGAGGGTGAGTAAATGATAACAGAATTTTCTCTTCTTTGTTTTTTTTGCGCAATAATGAAATAGTTAAAAACATTAATAAAAAATTAAATAAGCACAATATGTGTACTCTCACGTCATTCTAAAGTACGTAGTGCATTCTCACCATTGCCACAAGGGGCGCTATAGCACACATTAGCATAGACTGTCTTGTTTTACGCTCAACTGACATGAAAGAAGAAATTGTTGAATAAAGCTGTTATTTTTGTTTACTTTGTGCACAAAAAGTATTCTCGTAGATTCATAAAATTAAGGTTGAACCACTGATGCCAAATAGACTATTTTAACAATGTCCTAACTACCTTTCTGGGCCTTAAACATGTCAGTTGTGTTGCTGTCTATGGAGGGTCAGAAAGCTCTCAGATTTAATCAAAAATACCTTATTATGTGTTCTGAAGATGAACAAAGGCCTTACAGGTTTGGAACGGCATGTGAGTGAGTAATTAATGACAGAATTAAATTTTTTATGTGAACTAACCTTTTAATAATAACACATCTGGTATTATGGCATAGGCATTTGTAGGTAACGCAGTTACTCCTCGAGTACTTAGGTTTGTTACTCTAAAGAAATACAATAACACATTAAGTATTTACAATGGGAAAGCACACTTGCAATGCACTGGCCAAAATTTGGCCATTCTGCAATTACACTTTCCAGAAATACATTATTAAATATTTGAGGATTGTCCTGTTCGAAATCCAGCCTTGATTTATACTGATAACTGATAAAAAAAAAAGCTTTTAAGAGAGGGGAAACGATTGTGGACACCTATAGTAAGACGAGCTATCGCTGATTATCATTTCCCACAGCCAGCAGTAAAAGTGAGAGAAGGGCTTTTAGTTATCAGAGACCCGTGAAGATATAATCTGGAAAACACGCTATCTTCTGCAACCTAAGACTCATGAAACCGTGGCTCAGATAAAGTCTGTCAACACAGCATGTTCTGTAAGTTTTTGATGTATATATGTAATCATTCCGTCCCTTCTATATTTTGTAATAAGCTTATATTTTTATCCCACAGCATGTAGAATTATCCATAATAATGCCCCAGTGCAGAAATGGCACAGACGCGAGGTGGAAAAATCAGGTCATCGCGGTTCATGGAGCAGTTTTCACTCTCACTAGTCCACCAAATTCATTCAGGCTTGCCTTCACATGCCCTAGGAAATCCCAGGAGGCGTCCAAATGTTGCGTAACATCTGTCCAGCTTTACTACACTTTCTCTTTCATGCACATATACACTATTTTCCCTATTTATCAGCAGTGTAAAATCCGTCGCACACTGTATAAGAAGCACAGTGGCGAAGAGCGGCTAGGACAACTCACAGGTGACACAGCATTCTAAAACATAGTGCTTAAAATAAGTTAAACTTTAAAAAAATGCATAACTAGACCACTACCCTGCGTCACCTTTTTTGTGTGCATGTTAATGGCCTGTAACTGTACACTGACTCCTTAACCAATTTGACTCTTGGAAGAGAATAAAAATTGCAGCATAACAGAAGTGCTTGTTCCCTGTCAGTTTTGGTTTAGTAGATGTTTCCATGGGCCGCATAGGGAATCAAGAAGGGCATTACATAAATATTAGTTTTGTAACTGTCCTTTTTATTGTAAGTTTGCATAAGCCTCTCAGTAATATGTATTTTAATATTCTGCAATAGCATTCACAAGGCAGGAGAATGTCGATGCTACGCTCCTAGCAAAAATACATTATATTGAATCAATTTAATAGGTCTGATCAATTTTTAAACATATCACTACCAAAGTATGTTTTTTGTTTGACCAAATGATCCAAATCAAAAGCATCCAAAGCAATTCAGTAAAAAGAACCAGATTTTTTTCAACAATATTAGAGACGGTGTTGGAAAGCGAGTTTGAAAAAAGTCAATTCAGTGAACAGAATAATCTTTTTTGTCCACAATATCTGAGAAATTATCAAAAACAAAACAAAAAAATGTTTTGCAATTTTAAATATATGAATTCAAAATATTATACTAATGTATTATTTAAAATTATTATATTTTTTACTTACTATATATATTACTTACAACTTAATATTTCCAGCTATCAAAAATATAGCAATTGTCTCTGTATAATGCATATTAAAGTTTATAAGTGCAGCGCTGCTTTGTTTGCAGCGGAAACCAGGAAACGCTTTAAGCGCCACCTGCTGGCAGAGAGTGAATCTGCGTCTCATTCAGCTCGTCTGCTGTTGCTGTTTCTGTTTCTTGCAGATATTTTTTATGCATAGTTTCACAAAACTGAAGTCAAACCATTCTGTTTTTGCTTCAAATTTCAAAACTATACAATGTAATTTAGATTAAAAACTTCTCATGTTGCATGTATGCAGCATTTTTGTTTGGATCATGATTAAAATGCAGTGGTTGTCTCTCATTTTAAATGGAAAGAGCACAGACAAAGCCTTAGTTTGTTTATATGAAGAGATTTATTTTATTTGTGTTTCTTATTTATTTGATTTGGGGCTTGTTTTAAAAATTTTATTTAGTTTTGCTTTTTACATTTACATCATATTAAAATTTTGTTATTTAGCAAACGCTTTTATCCAAATCGACTAACAAATGAGGACAATAGAAGCAATCAAAACCAACAAAAGAGCAATAATTTGCAAGTGCTATATTAGTATATTATTATATACGGGCTTGTTTTAAAAATTTTATTTAGTTTTGTTTTTTACATTTACATTATATTAAAATTTTGTTATTTAGCAAACGCTTTTATCCAAATCGACTAACAAATGAGGACAATAGAAGCAATCAAAACCAACAAAAGAGCAATAATTTGCAAGTGCTATATTAGTATATTATTATATATTTCAATTTCACAACGAAACGTACAGTATTTTGTCCAAGCAATAATAAAAGGACACATTTAATTTATAATTTGTCTTAAATCTCATTTTGCTAAAAAAAAAACGCGAATCGAATCGAATCGTGAGTTGAGTGAATCGTTACATCCCTACTTATATATTGTAGACTCTTAAATGATAATTATAGGAAAATAATTGGAAAGGCAGCAGCCTTTTTTGAATGAAGTGGTCAGAATACATTAATGTCTATTAATTTAGCTAGAGATGGCAGAATGCTGTTTATTAGCACATTTTTGTCTAATAGGCTAATCAGATTACTTGGCTGCATATGCAATACAATATGTCATAAATGTAGCAACATAGCGTTTTGTCATGCTACACTATGCTCCTTGTTGGAAATCATAGCTCATTACTGGAAAAGCTACACCATTATGAAAACGTCATGAGTTACTGTCACGCTACTATTGCTACTTTTAGCTTCTCTTCAACATTGTTTCAAACTTTAAAGAGCAGAGGGTGAGTTGGGGTGGATGAAATGTTGAAATAAGGCTGTTTTTTATAAACTATGTAAGGAACTTCTATTTGGAGCTCACTGAAAAAGATTTATTTTGCGCTGTTTGAAGCCACGCTCATCTAGGCCTTTGACCTGTCCAAGAGACACAATTTCACCAACAATTTAACATTGACTATCTGTCAAAATGTCTCCCTGTTCTTGAGGGAGTTCTGGTGCCTGTCTCTCCTGCTCTTGATGCTGTGTGTGTGTGTGTGTGTTTATATTCAGCAAGAGTTTCCAGCTCCCACAGTCTGAGCCTTCAGATGAAGCTTTTAAAGCCTGCCAGGGTGATTCTGCTTGGCAGTGAAGAGGAGTGACTACATTAAAGCCCTGAGGGAGCTGTACTGCTCATGAACATCACTGTGTGTCTGCCTTGTCTGTCTTTCTTAATCTGCCTCTCTCGCTCCCAGATTCTCTTTTCTCTTATACCTCTTTCTACACCAGCAGGTTTCAGGGCAAACTTTGAAAAGACAAATAAAAATATTACTGCTGTCATATGATTAACATAAAAACCTATTCTCATGATTTTTGTAGTCATTTTTACATTTATATCATTTTACATTTTATATAATTTTTATATTATTTCATTACTTATTTTAAATATTAACTTCATTTTAACGAATTAAAATAAATTACTGTAACATTCACTTTCTTAAAAAAAGAAAACAAAATAATATGTATAACTTTTGCCAATTTGTTTGCTGTACAAGTATTTATTTTAATATGAATTATATAATATTACATTATTTATTTGTATCTTGAATATTAATAAACAGCTTTTATTTTTGTTTTTATTTTCATTTTATTTGTTTCTCACATAATTTTGTTAAGTGTTTTGACATTTTTTTTTTTTTTTATAATTTTTTTATAAATATATTTTTAAAAAATTATATTATTTTTTTATAAATTTATTTTTTATTTCTTAGCTTGAACATATTTTATTTCGGTTAATTGCCAAGACAAATTTTTTTTTACTTCTATTAAGTTTTAAGTTCAAGTTTACGGAGCCCCACACATGACATGCAGGAAAAAAATTGTAAATCATAATTCGTTCCCTCTTTTGGGGCCACAATTTAGTATTGTCTTGTGCACGATTTATTAAAATGTGGGAACAAATTATTATATCATGGGTACAATTTAAAGGGGTCATATGATGTTGCTAAAAAGAACATTATTTTGTGTATTTGGTGTAATAAAATG